TCCTACTTTATTATTTTATGCATTTTTCACGCATAAAACGTGTACCTGCTTTATATATGCCACCCCCTACGTTTTGGGCTTGGAAATTTGGGAAAAAAAGGGTCGCTTATACATGGAGAAATACGGTAATTAATTGCAAAGTTGTGTACGAGAAGTGAATCTGATTGCACCGGTCTACCCTTATTTTCTTGGCCTATTATATTTGGTACATTTTTTGTAAAATATGCTTCCTCGCCCTGACGATGTCTACCACATGACGGATGAAAGCTTAACACGTGCTCATCGGAGTCGCAAACTGATGGATCGAGTGCTGTTTTGTACACTACAATAGTCTTCACTACATGACAATCCGGTGAGACCCATTCACGAATTCTGCTTCAAAATCAAAAATCATTGGACAGTAACATAATTGAATTCCTCCAGACCAATAAGATACCGTAAAAATGCACTCAAAAGGTCGCCTCTTCCCGGCTGGTCGGTAGTTTTGATCAAGCCCGGGGCCCATCAACCGCTGGATTCAAACCTGTTTCACTAGCTTCTACAAATCACACATTTGTAATTGGAATTTCAACAATGCAAGTATTTAATTGTTATTGCATTCAATTAGGTTACTTGTTTTGGTATGAGTATGCTTAAAAATTACATTGTTAAGGGGACCTTCATTTCGTATGAAAGTGCCTGAAGAGGAGATTCGTTGGTCGATCTCACCAGATGACGACAGATGAATCTCGTTGTACTGCAGCCGGTTGGATTTTATACGATCCGTCCATCATATGATGGACGAAAGCTCAGCACGTTTTCACCCGAAACGAGGGAGGAAGCCTTGTGGACTGCGTCAACATGAATATCGGCTACAATACAACGACATTCATCTGTCGTCATCTGGTGAGATCGTCCAACGAATCTCTTCTTCATTCACTTTCATACGAAATGAAGGTCCCCCTAGCAAAGTTTCTCTTCGTATCTTCAAAGCTACAATTAACATAGCCACCTTAAGCTCTCCTCCAAGAGTTAATGGTAGTTTTGAAACATACTCACATCAAAAATCATTTGTCACTGTTTGCTCTTTAGACTGACTAGGGCGCATGTCGCAAGTAATCCGTTCATTCAGCCTCAACCCAGCCATCGGTCTGTCGCTCGGCGACAAGTGCGACTTGTGTATCTGTCTATGTACATGTGTGTGTGTGTGTGTAGGTGGGTGGGTGAGTGTGTGCGTGTAGAGGAGGGAGAGAGAATGAAGACAAATAATGTCGATGGTCCCGAAGTTACGAGTGAAATGACTCTGGACGTTTGCCTGAACAGCCATGTCTGCGAGTCAACTTTGTCAAGTAATTATTAAGTCCACACACGCATGTTGCAACCGGGGCACTAAATGAATGCATGCATGTGTGACTGTTTGTGTAGCTATGTATATGTGTGTGTGTGTATGTGTGCCTTGAGCCGAGGCTGTTTGCTGAAGTTGTGAAACCGGGCCAGCCTTCAAAGCACTGCCCTCAATGGTGCAGTTTCATGTGCACTATAGTGTCATGACAACAGAGTCCGGCAATTTGTCCCCAGCCTCGAGACCGAGGGAAGCTGGCTTGTCAGGCACATGGAGTGTAGGTGTGCTCAGTGCATCGCTTCACACGATCGTCAATTGGCCTCGAGAACAGTTGAAATATGTACACCGGTACCGCGCCCTACAGCCATGCCTGAGCAAATACGCTGGATCCGGGTGATTAGACCCAACACCCAACCTTCGAATTTACCAGAATTCTCTACATTTTCAACCAGTCACCCAACACCACATACCGACCACTACGTCAGAAACAAATGGTCTTTTCCAGCCGACCATAGGCAAACTGCTTTTTCCTATTGACTCTCTCTTTCACACATTTGCGCCACAATCAACGCTAACGCAAACACCCACACACACACACATAATAACTTACATACATACATACATACATAAATGCATGTGCACGCATATATTTATAAATACAAACACGCATACATACAA